CAGCCAATCATGTAGAGCAGATCAGAAAAGGATTTAATTCAGAAAGACCAAAAATATATTGAGATATGCATATATTCTGAGGCTATGTGCATAATATTTTTTTAAAAAAAAGGTTACAGGGGTTTATAAAGAATTGGACTGCTTAAGTGCACTCCAAACCTTGGCACAGTACTCATCTACTTGAAGATTTCTCCTATGTGGAAAGTGCCCAGCTCGAACTCCATCCTAAAAGTGAATACAGTTTTTATTCTGCTTAAAAGTACCTAGTTTATAGAGAATAACCATAGTTCATAAAAATATGAAAACATTGTAGCAAGCAGCAATCATAGAATAGAGTTTTATCCTGTTAGCAGGTTTTCTTTTTTATTCTTCTTATAGATTAGTTTCATTTTCTTTTTGTTTAGTTTTATTTTACTTCTTATTTTTGTTCCACTCTTTTCCAACTTTAAAATCATTTTTTTTTTTGTTTTTCTCTTTCTTACGAGAAGATGTCTTCAGATTGGCAGTATCCTATTGTAAGGCAGGGGTCAGATGAGTTGTAATTTTTAGTCCTAACTGAATTAGTGCAGCAGGTTATATTTAGGTACTATTTGGATAACTGGATGATGATAGACTTATAAATTAAATGATATTCTGTATTTATATATGTAGCTACAAATGGTTTAATAAAGTACTACTGTAACTGCTTAAAGAAAAAAAAAAAAGTAATAGTAATTGTAGTAAATAGTAAGATGTTTTTAATATTGAAGTGTTGTAATATTGTTAGCATAGTCCTAATATCTTCTTGTTCATTTATAAATATATTGTTATATATAGTGTTTGTAATTTTTTTTAGTTAGGTTTATTTTATATGTTATGTATTGTTTGTTCAGTTGTAAGTAATTTGTTTGTTGAATTATTTAAATTCAAGTTATTGAAATTTTATAGAAATAGTAAGTTTCTTTTAATAACCTTACTATTTTTATCAGTGTCTTAGATGTTGTTATTGATAATATTAAATTGTGTTATATTATTTATTATTAGTTGTATTATTTGTTATTAGTCTTTTAATAAATCAGAGTTGTTTATTAAGTTTGCAGTTATAATATAAAGAGGTAATAAAAGTAAGAACTTATATTATGAATTAATTTATTATATAAAATTTTTTGCTTGTAATTTGTTAATTATTAAATACATAAATTTATTAGTTGTTTAAATTTTGTTAGTCTTTTTAAATAGTTACAGTTTTGCTAAAAAGTTATTATTAGATAGTTTTTTAAAAAAATAATCTTTTTTAAGCATTTGAATTGTTTCTTTAAAATTTGTATTTGAATTTTGTAAGTTTATAAAAAAGTATAATCTGTATATAGGTTTTAAGTCTTAATAAACTGTTGACAATATTTTTTGATAATTATAAATTAAAATAGTTATTTAAGATTCTATTAAAGGTGTAATAGTTTTTTAGCTATTTTGTTATATCTGCAAATTCTTTAAATTGACTTTTTATTATAATTGAAAAAGGTATTTAAACTTAGAATTTAGTTTTTAATTTTATTTGAAAATACTTCTAATAGTATAAAAAAGATTTCTAATAATTTTTTAAATTAGTATACTTTATATAATATTACAATGACTATTTTGATATATGCTTTTTGTTATATGAATAAATTAAAAAAATATTTAAGCTATGTTTTTTAAAATTTAGCTAGAATTTATTGATAATTGTTTTAAATATGCTATAATTATTTTTGTATTATTTTATATAAATTTATATTATTTTTTATAGTTTTATTTTTAGTAAATTTTTTGTAGTACGTATTTAATAAGATAGTAAATTTGTTTTGTTAATATTTTATAGAACTTTGTACTAATTAAATAGTTGATTATAATTTTTTATTATTATTTTTGTTAAATTAGATCTCTTGTTTGTTTGTTTGCAATTATTATTTTGTTAGTTAATGTATATTTTTTTTAATGTTTTTTTAAAAAAATTTTTATAGATTTTTTAGTACTGTAAAATTAATTTTTTTTTTTTTTTATAAAGATAAAAAGATAATTATATCTCTGTATCTAAATTTAGTTTTAATTGATAAGTGTAATATATAGTTTATATATTTAGTTTGCATTTTGTATTTGATGAATTCTTAAATTTTATTTTCATTTTTTAGTATAAATACTATTTTATTATAATTCTATAAAGCTTTATCAAATAATTTATCTATATTTTTTTAATCTTTTATTAATTTCTTGTACTCATTTTTTATATAATCATTTTGTTTTATACTTTATATATTATTTTAAATATACTAGATTTTTTAGATTATTTAATTGTATATTGACTATATTATTACCTGTTCTACTGTTGTATTGTCTTTAGTTTCATTTGGTTACTGTCTGCTACCATTATTGTATTTTAGTTTTTAATGAATTTTGTTTTATTGTATTTTATATTTTCTTATAAGTCTGTTATGTTATATTGATTTAATATTGTATTTATACTGCTGTTTTCTTATATAATCATACTATAATAATTATTGTTATTTATAATATATTGATTATTGTTATTACTTTCTATTTATGTTATGTTTTATCAAAATTTGTTAGAATTGGTTTTTTTTATTATAATTATATTATCATTGTTTTTGTCAAGAGTATATCAGTTTTGTCATTTTTTGTTCTTTTATATAATAGAACTAGGTTGATATAAAGTTTTTTTTGTCTTTGTAATTGAGTATACTATATATGTTTTAGTTTCTTTTATATTTGTATTCTGTTATTGTTACTAGTTTTGCTTCACCTTTTATTTTCAACTATTGTGTTGTTTTGAATATAAATTGCAAGTTAAACTCAAAAATCTGTTGCTTAGATGTTTTGTTTGTTATGAATGTTATTTTCTTTTTATGCTTTATCTTGTCTTGTGTTAGTGTTGTTATGCTATTCTTATTGTCTTTGTAACTGTTTTATGTCTTATTTGGTTATTTTTATTTGTCTAAATTTTTCGGTTATTATTTTTGCTTATAATTTTATAATTTTTAGGAAAAATTTTTTTTATCAGAAAAATTAGAATTATCAAATTTTTTATTTTCAATCTCAAATTTATTGATGCATCCTTTCTAATTTGGCGCACAGCATACGTACGTACTAATATTGAGATGCAATGCTATAAATAAAGTTATTATACGTACTTATATATCTATGCATATTTAAACGTAAATGTATAAATGCCATTAAAAGCATTATATACAGTAATAGAGGATTTAAATGCCATCTATAGCTAATAAATTCTAAACAAAGTTGATCTTTATTTAAAAAATAAGTTAATTATAGAGTAAGACACTAGTATATTATACATTTGGGGCTGAGCCAGAGCCCACATTTAGGGAGAGCAAACTTAATGAATACTTGCATTTAGAAAGGACAAGCATTCCAGAAGAATAAACTTAATGCTTGCATTTAGAGAAGATTCGAAAAACATTAGTTTAAATAAATAATTTGAAGGTATTTAATAAATGCAATTAAATATCAATTTTAAGAGACAGAAATCAATGTCTTGGAATACATTGATATTAAGTGAAAGCAAATGCTTAAATAATGGGGGAATATTGCATATCTGTTAAACTAGAGAATATGCCGTTGAGAAATTACTACCGAGTATTATTGAATTAGCCGGGTTACTCGTGTAAAAGTTACAAATATTGGATAACAAGCCTTGTGTACAATTCCTTAAGACAAAATGTTCATAGATAAATTGATCTTAATTCATGTGGACTTACAATATCCTGGGCGTATGTGTATAAATAGAGATTTTGGTTACAACGGCCCAGGATATTATTTATCGTAATTGTCAGGAAAAATAGTGTGTAGTTGGGACATATGATACTCGATATGATTACTACCAGTCTCTAATTGTGTTGGTATGTATGTGTGTACATCATTTGGAGAAATCGAAGTAAATTTAGGTTGCATATAACACATAGGGTTAATTGGTTGTTGAATTATGGAATTAACATTGATTATGTCCTCATAACTAGTTGAAAGTGGTTTGGTACCATCATAGAGCGAACTATCAAAGATAATACCATTTATGATATCAGAATTGTTGTTCTCGTCGGTAAGTGATGGTAATCCATTGACTAAATTACTGATAGTGGTTTGACAAGGTATATATACATTTGTATTGTTTGGAGGAACAGGTGTGAGATGGTCAGTATGAAGTTGTTGAAAGTTGCTATTAAATTCATTATGTGTAAGGTTATCAAAATTTATGCCGTCTATGAAGTCCGACGTGACATCTCCAAAGAAACTACTCCAGGGAAGTGATGTTGAAGGTAATGGTGGTTGCATATATGCATCTGGAGAAAAAATATTGAATTGTGTGGGGTGTTTCACAACATTTACTATTTGAGAAATTTCAGGAATTTCTTTTACGTCATTGATGTTACCAGGTATCATTATTTGGGAGTTATCGAAGTTTGAATCGTCGATGATATTAGATGTGGCACTTGGTTTCATTTTATCTATAATCTGTTTAGAATGGTTATTCTTCCTTTCTTTGTTCTTATTTACCTTCCTAGGCTTTTTCTTTTTGCCTGTTGGATCTACAATAGCAATACTCAATTGTTTCTGCGAATGTCTCGTCCTATTTTTGTTAACTTCTTCGGCATACATCCTGAACATCTCTTTAAATGCTTTCGAGCTATTTTTCCAAATTTCTCCAGACAGAGACGAAATATCAACATTTTGAATTCGAGCAATTTTTAAATTGTCCGATTTGGTTTGCAAATGTTGTTGAAGCACTTTACGGAATATAGTATAATCATTTAACTTTTTGCATCCTTCCGATTTGAAGGTGAGTTCATTTGGTGTTGGAAGTTTGCAACAAAAAATGACATCATGAATTTTAAATTGGAGAAATTTGCCTTCACCCTCATAATATATACGAGGGAGTGTTTGGTCATTTTCAAGAGTCATGTTGAAAGGCTCTGTGAAAGTGTTATCAATATTTTGAAGGTATATCAACGAATTATTGTAAGATAAACTCATACTTGAAAAAACGATTTTTATAGCAAGACAATTATTTTATTAGAAAAAAAAATAAATAGAACACTAGGAAAAGAATGGTAGCGAAAATAAAAGCCTCAGGGATTGGATTTTTTGACTGCTTTCAAGTGTACAGAAAGCATTTATACGTATGAGATGATACATTACAAATATAACTAAATTAATATATTGACAAAGAGCATATACTACATCGGGCTGAAAGACCGTGCCACGGACATCATATGAATGTGATCTAATATCGTTATGTGTTGTGATATTTACGTTTTTTGCTTAAATGTGACTGCCTCGCAATGTTCCGTGCGTGCGTACATACGTACGTACACTTAGAAATACTAAGTATCGAAAATCAATTTCATGTACTTCGTAATTTTCATAAACGAAGTTTACAGCAAATGGATTTAATTCCAAGCACTAGCGATTTTTAATTTGATGCCGAGAGAAACATTCAACAAATTATGATATTTTTTAATCTAATGCTAGCCTATATATGCGTTTTTTTAAAACAAAATTGGTTAAAAAGGAAACGTTTGAAAGGTTGAGTGCAAACTTTACCGGAGCTGTCTCCGAATTTCTAAAAGTGAGATAAATGGCGTTCTAAGCGCAAAAATGGTAATTTCAATACTCATTCAATCTTTTAACGTTTAGGTTATATTATTTGTCAATTTTATTTTGAACAACATTGCACAAAACACAAATCAAACCTCAATATCATGTGTAACGTGATAGTATCAAATTTTAAACCGCGTTATATTGAGTATAATTATAGTAAAATTATAACCGAACTATTTTTAATTTGACAGAGGAGTAGTTTTATAATTAAATTTTCTGTCTGTCCATTCAGGGATGATGATTTTCTGCGGTGAATAAAACAAATTCTGCGTGTGGTAATTAAAATCCTGTGATGTGATGTGTTTTTAGCATATTCTGTAAAAATTTGTAATAAAAATATTGATTTCTGTGCATTTCTGTGCAATTCTTGAATTTTATTTTAAAGATAATAGTTTTGTCAAGCTTTTTTTTTTGCTGTTGTTTCTAACATTGTGCATAACAATATTAAAATAAAGAGCATATAAATTTTGTGTTTGATATAAATATTTGGAATATATTATATGCATTTAGTATAAAATTGTACTTTGATATTTAAGAAAAGTATTAAGGTAATAATATAAAGATATTAAATTAATAATTAAATATTATAATAATAAATAGAATTCAAAAGGTAAATGAATGTAAGCTTTATTAGCATTAATATTAATAAAAAAAGTAGTTTGATATATAAAATTACATTGTTTAAGAAATTAAAAAAAAGAACTAATATTTTGATTTTATATAAGTAAAGGTTAAAATGTATAAAATATTTGTTGAAACAGGTTAAAGAATATAAAATTTTGTAACTAGTATTATTAAAATTTAAATTGTATTTTTTAAAATAAGATGATAAAATAGTTTTTTAAAAAAAGTAGTTGTCTTTTATATAGGTATTTACTGTTGAAGCTTGGCTCTTATAGCTACAAAGTGTTCTATAGTTTGCTCTGTACACAATTAAAATAGTTGGTTTTTTTTTTATATTAAAGTAACTTATCTGATCTTTTAACTTTATTAATACTTATTTAGCTAATATGTTCATATAAAACTATTACAGAAAAAGTTATTGTCACGATTTAAAAAGGGATTGTCGATATTTCATTTAAATTAGATCACATAATCAAATACTAATATACAGTAATTATTAGATATAGCACATATACAGAGCGTAATTAGCAGATGTAGCATAATTAGCATAATTAGTAGATTTAGCATAATTAGTATAATTAATAGATATAGCAAATATAGTGTAATTAGTGTAATTAGTGTAATTAGCATAGATAGCGTAATTAGTGTAATTAGTATAGATAGCATAATTAGTGTAATTAGTGTATAGAGAAAAGTATATAAGTAATGCGCTTGTAATGTAATAAGGAAGGTCTCACAGTATAATCAATAAAGGTGTACTTACCCTTAGTACTTGCCCAAATCCTATGCCTCTTTTGAGTACTAATTTGTCCAACATTATATGAGAGACTCTCGTTTACCTATGAATAGGGAATTTTAGAGTTTATAAGTTCCATAGTATGACATTATATAATTTTTTTATATTATCTATTTAAAAAGTCTGCTTAAGAATTTTTACCAATTGCTATATCTAACACTTTTGCTTGAACATTTCATTTTAAATATTTTAATTTTGTATTCTTGTATTAACTTTACTAAGTTACAGAAGTATCTATATTTAAATTTTTATTTTAACCTTAAAATTAATTTATTCTTAAAATAAACTTTTTGAAGTCTTGTATTTTTATTTACAATTGACTCAATATTATTATAACTAAGACTAATACTTACTTTTGTAAAATTTATATAATTCTAATATAGTAAAACCTCTCTAAGTGCATACTCTTGAAACTAGGCTATAATGTGCACTTAAAGAATATGTGCATTTATAAAATTAGTATTTCTTCTTACCTATTATTACAATTAATAAAATCTTATATTTTTTTGATTATTTTTTTGTGTTAATTTATTATTTATCTTTCAAGAATATCTGACAAATCTATCATTTTAGTTGATAAAATCTTTATTTTAATCATATGCATGTATTTATAAAGAGTTTATATATAGGTTCAAGCTGTACGATTCTATAATATGCAAAGGTTGAATAATATACTTAGCATTAACTTTCAAGCTTGAGACTAAGCTTTAGTATGCATTTAAAAAGATATGCATTTAAGAAAAGTGCACTTAAGGTTTTACTGTATTTGTGGTTTGACTAATGAATACAATCTTGAATTTTATTAACTGAAAATCATATATATGTATTTATGAAAGTGCAAGTATAAGTCCAGGTCATAAAAACTTATGCATATGCAAAACATAGAGGTATGTACTTAGCATAAGCTTGAAACTAGGCTATAGTATGCACTTAGAAAGTGTGTGCACTTAGAGAAGGTGCATTTAGAAAAGTATTACTTTACTTTCTTTATAACCTTATTAGTATCTTAGTTATCTTTACAAGTTTTATTATATTACCAATTCAGTAAGCTCTGTATAATATGATTTTATATTCAGATTAACCAATAACTAGGTTTGTAAATTTTTTTTATCTAAAGATTCTCAACTGTACAAATTACTTACTCTAAATTTTCTTTTTCAAATTAAGTTTTTTATAGATAGTATTATTAAAGATTATATTATCTTTTTATTTAGAATTTTTAAATAAGGTTTTTTTTTTTTTTTTAGTATTAAGGTGAAGTTTTGCTCTTATTTTTATTTGTAGTCATTAAGTAGTAACTGTATAAAATTATTGGATACAAAAAAAGTTCTATATATGCTATAGTTAAGACTAACACTTAAAATCAAAGCTAAATATTAAACTGCTAACTATAAAACTATAACTCTAAGTAATATAAATATTATATGCAAGAATAAGAGCTCAGATATATTTATCTGTAGCTTAAACTTGCTAGAATAGTTAAGGCTCATCTAGATTAGTTCAAATTTTCTAAATAATATTCATTATTCTAGTATATACTAGTAAGCTATTCATAGATTTTACTAACTATTTATATTATTAAAAATTAATTACATTATTATAAAAAAAAAAACCAAAAATTAAATAAAAAATAAAAGATAATTAAAAAAATAAAAAATAGTGTTAGTTGAATAAGCAAATAAATAAAGAAAGTTAACAGAGTTATAAGTATGTAACCAGAGTTATAAGTGTATAACTAAAGCAAGTAGTATAAATTGAATAAATAAATAGATAAGAGAAAGTAAATAGAAATATATAAATATAGCTAAAAAAAAGATAATCATTAAGTTTATTGATGATTTTAGATACATTAAAGATGTAAATAAAGTTAGTTTCTGATATTGTAAGTATAACAATATTAAGTTTTTTGATAATATATTGGTTTGCTTAATCAAAGTATAACTTGTTAAGATTTTTTTAAGTTGAATAATAGTTGGTTTGGAGATTTAAGTAATGTTATAATAGGCAATGATTCTGACTAGAATTTGTAAATTGCTTGTTTAAGAAAAGATTTTGTTTAATACTTCTTTGAAATTGAGATTAATAATTTTATTATTTATTATTACAGATTTAAAGTAAGCTTTAAGATAGCAATAAATAAAATAAGATATATATTTAGAATTAGTAGATATATTGTTTTGTTGAATAAAATTTTGTTCAGATTGGTTAACTAATTTATAAAGATCTTTAAAAGATAAAGGTATATAAAGTGTTACTAAGATAAATATAGAAAGATTTAAAAATGGATATATATATTATTGAATAGGTATAGTATTAAAAAATTGTATAAAGTAATAAAAAGTTAGATTGTAGATATTATGAATTATTTTTGAATTAAGAATTTTATATTTTTTCAAATTGGTACTGATGTATATGTGATATATTGCTGTTTTAGTAGCATAGTTTGTTTTGTTTAGTTTTAAATAGATCAAATAGTTAATAGTTCAGGTTTTTAAAAAATTAGCTTTTTGTATTTATTATTAGTTGTTATTATTATTTAGTATTTAATATAGTTATAAACTTTTATTTGTTAAAGTTACTAAATTGTTTTTTGTAATATATAAAAAATTTTAAAACTAGATATCAAATTGTAGTTTAATTAAGTAAAAAGGTAAAATATAATAGTTTGTATTAAATTCTTAAAAGATAATATTTATAATAATGTTAATATGAAATTTAGAGGTATTATAGATTTGTAAAATAGGAATATTGCTTTTTAGAGTATTTAAAATATGATTTATATATATAAAGCTTTTTAAGTAGATAGGTTTAAATTGTAAGTCAAAAAAGAATTTTTGGTAATTAATAGTTTGGTATTTGTTATATAGAAATAGATAAACTC